CTTAACGAGGGTACAGACTGTAGTATTAAAAACAGATCCTGTGGCCTTAACAAAGGTGCAGACTGGAGTGTTAAATGTAACAGCATTTAACAGCAGTTTTGCTTAAAGCGCTTAAGTCTCACGGATATCTAAAAAAAAAACACAAGAGGAAATGTAACTTGTTTCATGCAGATGGCTCTTGATTTTGTGTATCCTAATGCAAAAGTTTGGCTTAGATTGAATGTGTCCATTCTCCCTGGACAAGGACATCTTGATTCCCAACCTGGACAGATCCACCTCAAGCAGGGCCTAATAAGCCACCTTATAAACCACTGCTTTCCTAAGATCCAAAACCGCTTCTAAAAGTGCCATAAATGGCTGCATTGGACAGATGAGAGATCATAGAGAAAGAAAAAAGAAACACTTCTTTCTACATGCCCACATTTCCTGGCAGCAATGTGGAGCAGTGGCTATAGTTTTGGATTCGTAAGGAGAAGGTTGTGAGATCAAAAACCCAGATTCAACACTGTTGATATACCTTTGAGCAAGGGAATTCACACAAATCATTCCATCTCAATATCCAGCTGTAGACTGGGTGTAAGTGTTTTATAAAATGACCAGTGAAACACATCAGTAAATTTGAGATCACGTAGGAAGTAAAAAAGAAATGTTTTCTTCCACCCAGAGTTGGTCACACTCCTGACTGGACAACGCTGGACTTATAGACTTGCTTGAGGTGCTGACCTCAGACAGCTGCAGGACTGCTGAGAGCTCTCCAGCCCCAGTACTGAGCCACCGTCTGAATCAAGAACTCGTATACTGTACCACACCTGCGACAGATGCCCCTGTTGCGGGTCAGATCTCGCCCCTCTTACAAAACGCCCTGGATATTGAAACAAGACCTCCCGCAAAATGAAAAAAGCCAAGTGGTAAGTCACAGGGCCGGGAAAGGAGACACTGCAGTTGAGAAGTCTTGGCTTGGGGCTGGGTGAGATGCACCCCCTCTTCTTTCCACTTCGTTTTGTCCAGCTCAAAGGAGAAGAGACCAAAATTTGTCGGCGGCTGGCCCCGGCCACCCAAGCAGACTGGAGCATGCACAGCTTGGGCACAGGAACCCATTCCCAGCATGGCCTGGCCCAGCATGGCAGCCTGTCTGGTCCAAGCCAGCGTCTGTCCGCAAGAACAGTGTGACAAGGAAGCAAGAGGGACGCCCTGTCCTCCCTCGTGCCTCAGCAATAAACCCCACACAAGGCGTAACTGGAAGGCTGCTTTATTAAGAAAAAAGTTCGTGCTCAAATGAAGACAATCTTTCAGAAGATCTTACTAAGAGTCCGGTGTTGGTGCAACACGTTGTATGTCTTTTCTCCTACTTTATTTTTTATTTTTTTACTTTTAGTGGCAAATGATAACAACAATGAAAAAAGCATTTTTCTGTTATTTTTCAGCGGGGAAAAAAACAAAAATAGCATTTCCATCATGCTACAAAAATAAACTAAATAGATCCAATAAAGAAATATCCATACAAAAATAAATCAACAGATGTCGTTGTAAATCAGATGAAAGCTGAAAGGCAAGCTGCTGTCTCGAAAGCCAGGTGACTGGAACACACAAGAGTGCAGAAACACATTGCATGTTAGTTTTACCATTGAGCATTTTCTCTTTGTTTCTACTCAGGCAGTATTGCGGACACCTCTAATTGTGGTCAATGTCAGGACCCCTAAGTCACATTTGTGCTCCGTATATTGGCTCCCGCGGTTTGTTGGGGTCTGAAGTTGGCGAAAAGCAGATAAAGGCACAGGCTGTTGGGGGAAAACTGTGCCAAGAGCAAGATGAACACAAGGAGGAAGCTTGCTGGCACGGAATGGGGGCAGAGGGTCAGGGCTGGGGAGTGGGTGGGTAAGCAAAGGAGTAGGATTTGGGGGGCACCAGCAGATAAAATTAGGTTTAGTGGGTCCAGGTGGGTGATTTTTTTATTTTGAGGGGGAGGAGGAGATGACATCACGTACAAAAGCTGTGCAAAATAGTGCAATTCTCGCGGGCGGGGGCTAGGGGGGTGTCCCATTAACTGGCCCGTGCAGGGACAAACAGATGATGAGTCGGGTGCACTGCACGTGAGAAAGCACCAACGCCTTTGTCTGCAGGGCCTCTTCCTCTCCGACGCAGGGTGGGGATGAGGGGAAGGTGTTCATACAGACTTTTTTTCGTTTCCCCTCTATAGTGTTGGACAGTGTCTCACAATAAGATGACGAAAAAAATGAACAGATGTGACCAGGGCATCAGCTGGAAGCCATTCTATTTTTAATTATCAGAGTAATACTAGTACTGTAGTAGTAATATTTTTTATTTCTGTATTTACAAAAAACGCATGCTGATAAAATAAAAATATATTACATTATTTATAGCAGTCTCTTAAAAAGTTCATCCTTAACTTTTCAGCGTTTTTTTTGTGCCGTTTACAATATAGCCTGCACTGTACATATATTTAGTTTTATGTTGCTTATGGACGAATGTGTTTTTACACGCTGTGTCCCAGATGGGCACGGGAAAGTCAGACGGCGTTTGGAACGGTTCTTCGTTAGTTTATTTGGTACAAATTAATGAGCAACACTAGTTTGGAGACGTCATGCAACAGCTGGATCAAAGAACTCCAGAGCCGCCACGCCCCCCGGCCGGAAGTGGGCAGTTTTTCCGATTGGCACGCCACAGGAAGTGCAGCCGAAAGCTCTCGTGAGCATTTGTCCATACAAAACATGGAAGACACGGCCAGGTACTCTGTATTTGGCATCATCCCTCCAGAGTTTTCGAGAGAACCCATTATAAAAATATCACAGATTGTACTAGTTATAACCCGAGAGCTCTGTAGCTTACGCTGACCAGCACAGACACAGGCTCTCACAAAACAGCTTCTCCAGGTGCTTCTGGAGGAGTCTTGGGAGTCAAAACTCTAATTTTGGCAATTTATCCCTTCTATCACTCCTTTATGCCAGATCCATTTTCTCCCTTCCTTCGTGTCTAAAAGCACACAACTCCAGTGCTGGGGCTGTTGCATACGCTACCAAACCCACTTGGAATTGTCTTCAAACTAGTTCTGGCTTGCAAGGCACTGGCTGACACTGAACCTCTTTAATCACTCCTGGAAGAATGACCATGACTTTTTTGTGCCCTCATGCACTCACACATTGAGATCTGCTGTTGGGACCCTCAGTGCAGGCCAGCACCCATTGATGAGCTTCACAAGCAGGCATGAAAAATCTGCTATTTGGCCCTTTGTTTCTTCATTTCCCAACAGGAAGACTGGGAAAAAAAGCCTCCTGTTCAACCTTCCATGGAAGGAGCTGTAAGATTGCATTGTGTATTGCATTGTTCTCTTGAAGCAAGAATAACCCAACCTGCCCCTTTCTCTCCCAAACTCGGGATTGATTTCCCGGAGCCCATCCAGGAGCCTCATGTCCAGCTACTGCATGACGACACCAGGAGACGAGGAATCGGATGGCAATTGGCTTTTCCTCCATCTCCTCCGATCCGTATCTTCACAAGCCTGCTTTCCACTCTGACAAACCTGTGCTCTCCCTCTTCTTCTCCTTTTGACATTTGTACGGTCCTGTTATTTTCTTTTTGCCGAAATGCTTCAAGATTAAAACCAACCGCGACTGTAAATAAAAATGAAATTGCACTGAAAGGACACCATGGCTACTGAAGCATAGAATCCGGCGCGGCGTCCAGGTTACGACACTGCCAGACTGGGATCTGGATGGGCACAGCGGGTGGGGGTGGGGTGGGGAGCAATGTGAAATAAACACGAGAGCAGGAAAGGAGTAGACAAAAAACAGGCAACAGCTCCTGCTCACAGCACGCACATCCCGGCACTGTTGCCTTACTCCAGCCTGACTGCAGCACCTTGGAAGAGGGTAAAACAAAAACATCAGCAGCGCCCTCCCCTCGAACCCCTGCCCCAGCACCAGCTGAGGGCCTCCTCTCAAACAGCAACAACCAGGAGACAGACAGACCTCAGGTCAAAAGTCAGCAAAACATCATATTGCAGGATACAAATGAGCAGTTTCTAAAGCCCAGGGTGTCTGTTGTACAGGGTTTGCTTTGCCTTTTTACTTTGTCGTTTCCTCATCAACATACAACACCAATCAACCCCCCTCCCTCTCCCCCTCCCCCAACCCCCCCGGCTGCTTCCCCCATTCACAAAATCCAGAGCAGCGAAATCTTGGTACTTGTCTTTTTTGTCATTTTTTGTTTTTTTTAATGTGCCACAATGTTGGTATACTCAAACATCAGAACATCAGCTACTGAATGATTACAACCTCCTCTTACTGCAAAAACTCTAATGAGGCTTTGAATGAAAGATCTGTAAGTTGGATATTATTTGTGAAGGGCAGGATATATATTAGGTTCTTCCCCCAATATCGTGTATTATTATAATAATTGATATTTTTTTACTATATTTCTTAATTTTTTTCAGTGGACAGCCTCAAACTTATGGTCAAGCCACTGTTGTGGTCTGCATATTAGTGTCTTGTGGATTATGGTTACTCATGCATGATTCCTGATTAAAGCATGCCTCCATGCAAGTCATTTCTATGCATTGAACGAGCACAATTAGTTTTTTTTGGAAATCGGTCTGAGCAAGTCCCCTTCAGCCCAAGTCAAAACCCTGATTGACCCCCCCTTTCCCAATCAATGTGAAAGCCCATGTAGAAAATTTCTTTTGTAATTTTTTTATGCAGGTATAACAAAGATACGATGAGAAGACTTGTGACATGGGCTAAATGTTAAATGTTTTTTTCTGTTTTTGTTTTTTTTGCCACTCAAATAATGTAAAGATGCAATAATATTCACCAGGGACAAACAAACCCCCTTTTTGAGATAGTTCTGGGTTCTCGTTTTTCGTCCTATGTGGTTCCTTTTACCGTTTTCCCCGACGCATGAGGAAAACGAGATAGATAAAATCCTTCAGACTTGCTTTGGAAGTTTACTGTACGTGCCCCCCTCCCCCCACCGGCAGCTCCGTTTCCTTTGGGAAAATCCCAGATTGGATTGTTTTTTTTCCCCCCTGCCTCTCCCTCGTTTTTGCCACGCGGCGCAATCCCAATTCCCACGGGCAATCGGGAGTCCTGTTTCATTCTCATCTCTTCCCCGTTTCTCTCCTGCGATTTCCCCCCCGAGAAAAATGCAGTCCGCCGTCAGCTGAGGCGAGGATTTCCTCTCCCGTTCCCGTCGCATTAGAATCGGTTTCAAAACCTCAAGTCTTGATGCAACAATGTCACACAGTAAGCTGATTATGTTTGGTTTAAATCGAGTTAAGTGTCTTCAAAGCTGTAAGAAACGGGGCTGCTTCTTCTGCATTGATACATCGGTGAAGTCTGTAAACAATTTTGTGTGGGTTTCGTTACTTGCAAATGAAATAATCTGTACATTTGATTTGCTTGTTTGAAAGTTTCATCTAATTTTGCTTTATTATTGTTATTAGTAGTAGTATTTTATTATTAGATCCTAACACTTAGATTCCCTGACATCTTTTTGGTTTCTGCCCTTCTCTTTCCTGCCCCGCCCCTCGTGCTCCTCCTGTTTCTCCTTGTCGGGTTTCGTCACGCTGTCGTAGGAGGGGAGGGATGCAGTGGAGGGCGTGCCCTCCTTCTCTTGATTGGTCCCCCCGTTCTCCAGCTTGTTTGTCCCCGGCCCTCGCTTGCACACAAAGCCCCGCTTCACCAGGTAGCGCCGGTAGGCGCGCTGGATGACGATGGCCGACACCTCTTCCTGCTTGCGCCGCAGCGTGGTGGTGATCGGCTCGTACGACACCTTGGAGGGGTTGGACGCCACAAAGCGCTCCTCCATCTGCTGCCGCAGGATGTCCAGCTCCCCGCTGTCGCCCAAAACACGTTTTGTGAAGGCGAACAGGATGTCCAGGCAGTGGATGCGGTCCCCACTGACCATAGGCAGGTCCATGGCGATCAGCTCAATGGTGTTGGGCTTGGGCACCCTCAGCGGGTGCTCTAGGGTGTCCGCAAAGTCCGAGAGTTTGGCGTAGGCGATGAACTGCGAGGCGTCGGGGTCGAACTTCTCCCAGATCTCGTAGAAGGTCTCAAAGTCATCCTCGCTCAGTGGCTCGGCGCTCTCCTCTGTGGCCACGCTGAAGTTCTCCAGGATGATGGCGATGTACATGTTGACCACGATGAGGAAGGAGATGATGATGTACATGACGAAGAAGAAGATGCCCACCGAAGGGTTGCCACAATCCCCCCGGACCTGGCTGCCCGGGTGCTCCTTGTCCAGAGTGCAGTCGGGGGGCCGGTTCAGGATAGGCAGCAGGAGGCCGTCCCAGCCTGCGGAGGTGGTGATCATGAACAGGCAGATCATGCTGTTGCCGAAGGTCTCGAAGTTGAACATGTCATCGATGCCACCTCCCTTCTTCACATAGGCGAAGTTGGACATGCCGAAGATGGAGAAAATAAACATGACGAGGAAGAGAAGGAGGCCGATGTTGAACAGGGCTGGCAGGGACATCATCAGAGCGAACAGCAGAGTCCTGATCCCCTTGGCCCCCTTGATCAAGCGAAGGATACGGCCAATTCGGGCCAGTCGGATCACCCTGAACAGCGTAGGGGAGACAAAGTACTTCTCGATCAGGTCCGCCAGGAACATCCCTGCAAAGATGGGGGTAAGAGAGTGAAGGACAGTTAGAGAGTCACTTTAATCACACTGCAAATCTTGTGCTATAATCAGTGCCCACTACAAACATGGACACAGAAAAAGAACAAGTTAATTCAGTACTGAAAAGTAGTCTTGCTACCTTCCAGTGTGGAATTAACCTTTACTTGTTCCTTTGCAGCTAACACACGCTGACAGAGCTTTCCACTCAATCCCCAAGCAAAGGAAGTGCATGGAAACAAACGATTTCATCTATGATGTACATTCTACTTATATACAGAAAAAAGGGCTTACAGACTAAAGGACACACATGTTCATGTGTTTTTCTCTTTCAGGTGTTCTGGTTTCCTTGCACAGTCCAAAGACATGCTGGTAGTTTCAATGGGAAAATTGATTGTATCTGTGTGACCTGTGATGGACTGGCGTCCTGTCCAGATTGTTTCCTGCCTTGTGCCTGCTGCATGCTGAGATAGGTTCTGGATCCCCTGCAATTTTGTACTAGGTAGCTGATAGAAAATGGATAAATCGAAGATCTTTAAATAGAAATAGGGGCATGGTTTTTGAGTCCATAATCATGTGTGATGACAAGGTCCAGAGAGGAGTGTGTTTTACCACGAGTGACTTTTGTTTTTAGGAAGTAAAGTTATTTTGCCTTTAATTAGGGTTGGATTACGCTGCTGGCACTGGGGAGCAGCATGATGTCACAGAAAGAGATGGGCAAGGGTGGGTAAATTAGCGTGACAGTGCTCCTCACCCACAATGGATAGAATGACCACCACAACATCGAAGATGTTCCAGCCAATGGTGAAGTAGTAGTGCCTGAGAGCGAAGAGCTTGAGAACAAACTCCGTGGTGAAGATAATGATGAAGATGAAGTTGATCCAGTAGAGGATGTTCTCCATCTCCTTGCTCTGGTCGTCCGTCTCCACCATCATGGTGACCATGTTGAGGCAGATGAGAATCATGATGGAGATGTCGAAGACCTGCTGCGTGACGAAGTCAAACACCATCCCCTGGATCTTGTTCTGGGAGGTGGGGTAGTGGGGGGGAAGAGCACAAGAAGAAAAGATGGTGACGTCAAGACCTTTCATTGTCAATTTCATCTTTCCCATTCTGCAGGCCATGGGTTAACTGAATCATTCATTGATTTAACTGCTCTTAAAGACAGCTGTTTCCAAGTCTAGCCACTGAAGAGCAGTTAATGAGCAGTTAAACCTGGTCCATTAGAGATCTCCCCCAACACCTAATCCAGAGGGCCATCAAACCTGATCCTGGATAGCCCCAACCCAGCAGGTGTTATAGACCATTATCAGATCACTATATTGTAAAGACATGGACATTTTTAAATACAATTAAGCATATGATTTGTAAAATTAATTTAAACATGACTGTGGACCAAAATCTGAGTATCCTAAAGCCATTAAGGACCAGAGTTCACTAAAATGAACAGATCACTTCTTTACTTCAGGTTCAATCAGAAACTGTTGACCTACAAAACCAACTGGACTGGGGTTCCCCAGGAAAGTCTTATTGAAGGTCTTGTTGAGGACCCAGACTGAATCAGATCTTTAGTACAAGCTCATACTACACCCATCGCCCACCACCTTGCACTCCTTGTTCTTCTCTGCTCTGTGGCTCCTTGGGATTAAATCCCTAATCACAGGGCAGTCACTGTGGTCCATGTGGGGTGAGTGCAGAGGAGCACCTTTTAACAAACACAGCTGAAGTGAGCTATACCCCTGGACTGCTGGGGAGCGTAGAGTGCGTATGCCGTTTGTGTTACTTGTGTTCTGTTCACTATGTTTAATTATTAAGAAAAGTAGTGTTATAATGAAACCTGAAGTTGGGGGTGGGGTCACAGCAGCAGGGACATACCAGAGGTCTGGGGATGGGTTTCTGTGGCTTCTTGGACCCCAGCTTCTTCATGGCATTGTAGTATTTCTTTTGCTCTTCAGTCATGAAAATATCCTGGCCCCCAAAGTATAGGAGAAATCAGAGGAAACTGGTTACAATCTTATACTCCCTTGGTGCTAATGGAGAAACTATCATCAAATTGACCTGGAGGTGACCAAGCTGTGTTTTCTCAACTCCCTGGCTCATAATATACTGTATGATGCCCAAATGCCTAGATCCTCCCCCACAGCAAGGACCACATTACATGAAACCTATGACTGGTCCACCAATGCCAGAAGCTAATGGCAGGTTCCCATTGGATAAATGCAAGAAGCTATCAACCAATGAGCTGTGTTTTGACTTAATCTGCAGTTTGTGGAGAAAATTTGCAGCTTTGGTCCCTTGGCTTGTGCTTCTCCTTTTCCTTTTTCTGCCAGTTCCCTTCTACTACAGCCTGTGTGCACAGTGGGCTCCTGCTGCCCTGCTCCTTGTACTTTGGACTTTCACATCCAGCTAGGAGTTAAGGAAGCACAGAGGGGTGTGGTAGTCTGGAACAAGCTGCCCAGCCAAGTGTTTGAAGCCGATATTTCTGCTTCATTCAAGAAATGGCAGGATGAGATTCTGGGATCAAATAATTACTTATTACCAATCAGGCCAGATGGGCTGAATGGCCTCCTCTCATCAGTAACCTATAAGGATTCTGTCAACTCTGTGGTGATCATTACATAAGAAGTGCAGTCCATGTGCCCCAAAGCCTGATTGCTTTTAGAAAATCGACAGAATCACAGAATGGGAGAAGGGAACTCCTACTGGCTACTCAGGGCCTGAGATTGCTGATGTCCAATGAACGCACAGCTTTATAGCGCTGCTTTCTGCAACACTGCAATAAAGCCTTATAACAGGGGGAGGAAAAGAAAGCAAGGCTTATCTTTTTCTTCTGCTGGTTGAAGTTGTCGATGATGACACCGATGAAGAGGTTCAGGGTGAAGAAGGAGCCAAAGATGATGAAGATGACAAAGTAGATGTACATGTAGATGTTGTCTTCGTAGATGGGCTGCTCCTCCACCTGTGGACAAGAAAGGAAACACTGTGAGCAACCGGGTCTGCTTTCACCATACAGCTTAGTACTGCAGGAAGCCCTTTCCCCTCACAACCCCTTATGAGGGTATCCTCTGCCACCTGATGAGCCCAAGTGTGCAGCTCAAGCATAGCTACTTAAAAGGTTTTGCTTAACTGGCCACTAACCCAACACTGATGCAAAATCTCAGGAATGAATCCTTATTTCACAAGTCATAAGAAACTTCTAATCCAGTTGTCTCCAGTCCTGGTCCTGGGTGGTCAGTGTGTCTATGGGGTGTCCAGTCCTGGTCATGGGGGGTCAGTGAGTCTACAGGGTGTCCAGTCCTGGTGCTTGGGGGTCAGTGAGTCTGCAGGGTTGTCCGGTCCTCATCCTGAGGGGTCAGTGTATCCTCAAGGCACCCTGCAGACACACTGACCCCCCAGGGCCAGGACTGGACACCCAGCGGACACACTGACCCCCCCAGGACCAGGACTGGACACCCAGCGGACACATACCAGCCCTGCAGGACAGGGTTGCCCCAGTCTTGGTCAAGTATTCCGTGACAGAAAGGAAAAAGAATTTGTAACACTTCTTACCTTCCTGGAATCCACTGCTGCATACATGATGTCCATCCACCCTTTAAAAGTAGCCTGTCAGGGAAACACAAGCAGGAGTTAATGTCGGTGGCACTGTGGCTAAGGATCTGTGCCTGTGACTGGAAGGTTGACGGCCTTTATGTTATTATTTAATCATTGTTTTCATTGAACAAGCAGATTTTCACTCTTCCAAGCTGGGTTCCTGTAAAAAAATGCAGATATTCATTTTCTTCTCTAATCTTCTTGAATGAGGATGTTACTTTTTATTACAATTCATTTTTTATAATAAAGGCTATAAACTAATGTTTATTAGTTTACAGGTATAAACTAATGTTTGTGCATTTGCAAATAACTGCATTAAGGTAGCTACTGTACCATAAATAAGAAGGATATCTCATATAGAAGGGAGTAATAAAATACTGGTAACACCTAAAAACTGGTTATTGCTTTCCCACCTATTGTTTATGCATCGGTTAATGACTTTAAGCACATTACTCAAATAATTAACCAGGAATGACTAGTTATTGTTTTCATACTTAGGTACTGATCTGTGCTGTATTTTAGGTCTGGGTGTTAAACATATCATTTGTGAGTTCTGGAACCAGAGATCACAACATGGGAAGTAATAGGAATTTATTTTCCGTTATATAAGTTATCGCCTTACAAGCAATTTTCAAGGATCAAACTGAGCTTGTATAGTGAGGGATTACTAAAGGAGTGGGGTACAGAGGTGGGGAGCTCTCACCACTTGCAGCAGAGCCAGGTAGCCGGCTCCCACATTGTCGAAGTTGATCTTGACGTTCTTCCACCGCACCTCAGTGAAGTTCTGTTGAATGAGGTTCTCGCACTCTGTTTTGTTGTTGACCGTCTTGAAATCGAAGTATTCCTCAGCGGTCTCATTGTAGCAGTAGTAGTACTTTCCCGCAAACAAGTTGACCCCCATGATACTGAAAATCAGCCAAAAGATGAGGCAAACCAGCAACACATTCATAATGGAAGGGATGGCACCCACCAGTGCGTTGACTACCACCTAAACCAGACGGAGAGAGACAGGGCAGCACAGCGTCAGACACAGCCAGACTTGGGACACCCCCCCCATTCACACCACAGTGGAGAACAGCTACATACCCGTATGCACTCTGCACTTCACTGCACCCCCTTCATTACAGGCCTATTAAAGTAGGATCATCACTCCTAAACACGCAGGACTGCTTATAGTTCAACCAGTGCCCCCTGTTGCACCACCCCTGATCATTCAATGCAGCATTGGCATTAAGCTCAGGAAAGCTGTTTTAATGCTTAGAAGAAGCAGTCTGTAGAGAAGGAGAAGGTTCACCATCGGAATACCGAAGGGCAGGATTCCTCGCACTGGCTCAAGGATCTCATTCCAGATCCGAGTCTGCATGACCACAGCGCTGCCTCTAGAGGCTTCAGATCATGCATGCTGTCGGCGCCCTGCCTGGTGCAGTCTTGGGGAGGAACTATAAGGAGTAAGGAGTGTTCTCCAGGATCGCCAGTACCAGGTGGCGGGAGCACAGATCCTGGCTGGTGTCCCAGGTAAACCTCCGAGCACCTGAGCCACACAGCTCTGATGACAGTCCTACACTCGAACCCAGGTAGTCTACCTGTTTATTAGCTCTTTTGGTTACTGGTTGCTACACTGCAGTGAAGGAGGGACCTCCCACCCTCCCAGACTCCAGTCTTTTCCCGGAATCAAATTCAGCCAAATTTGTTTTCCCCTGCTGGCTCGGATAAAATCGTCTCCTGTACCTGCTCGGCTCTACGCACGAAACAGACACCCAGTCTCCACAAAACATGGGAAGCGAAAGCCTTGCGGGAATCACTTCTGCCATATCGTTTTCGGTCCTCCGATTCCTAAATCGGGCTGCGGTCTGCCTCTCCTTACACACAGAGCCGCCGAAGGGAGTGAATCTCCCTGTTTGTTCATGGGAGGGGGGTGTGAAACCAATGTCATTCGATCATACCTGTATGTAGCCCCCACCCCTTCCAACCACCCCTTCCCACTTCAAACACTGCAATGGAAAGCAGAAGCAATTTGAGAGGTTCTGACCCCCACGCCCACCTCCCACCATCCCTGCACTCTCCCCTTCCCTCTGACACAGGTAGCAATGACTTCGGTGGACAGTGGACTGCTCAGTATTAGTACTTATGCAGGCCGATCAACAGCTCTCAGGCAGACAGCTGAGCATGCGTGTCTTTTGCAGGCCCAATACCATAAAGCCATATTCCCCCCCCCGCCCCCATTCAAGGTAGGAGGCGTACTGGAGCAGGACTTGGTTGGGGATTCTCTGAGCATTTGAAACAGGTCAGTTTCTTTTTATTTTGAATATCTGAAGCCACTGGAGTTAAAAAAAGTTTCAGCAGCTCAAAAAGATTTTAAAAGCAGCCTCCTGGCAACAATGATGTTGCCAGATATGCAGATCTAAAGCCATAATTTGGGGGGGGGGGGTTGTAAAACCCTCAGGGGCATTTAGACTGAAAGAGCAACATAGCTCAGATTCAAATTCTGCCAGGTCAGCTCCCCTGCTATCTGGAGGACCAGTGTCTCACAGTTGGAATGATATTGGAAGCTCCTTTTCTCCTTGCTTGGAACAGGCGATACACTTGAGAAAAGAGCTTTTTCTACAAGTTGTTCATTCCTTAAGTACAGCTGTGGACCAACAGGCAGAATTTCTACAGAAATTAACAACCTCTTCTCTATTGCAAAGAGAGCCCAGCTCTTACTGGAGTGCAATCTAGCCATATTAGAAGTCACAATTAAAAACTATATATACACACTATATATATAGTTAAATATATATTAAAAAGAGGGGAAAATGGCTTTAAAAAGTGCATAATGTGCATCGGCGATTGAATAATTCATGCGTGTTACATGGCTTTGTTGTGCTATCTCAAGGAGAGTACCAAATACCCCTGCAAACTCAATGGATTAACAAAGAGCAATACGTCTCCTTTCAGCAGAACAGAGGACAATATCCTGAAGCATGTTTTTGAGACCCTCTCCGCATCACCTTCAGTTTACAGAAAGCTCGAACCTAAACTTTGGCTGGCTCAGTGGAGCATGAGTTATGTATGTAGCTATGTATGTGTATTATGTGAGTGCCTGAGTCCTGTCCTGTGTTTGTAGGACAGTATGGTGTCAGTGGGAGTCCTGTCCTGTGTTTGAAAGTCAAGGGGGTGTCAGTGTGAGTCCTGTCCTGTGTTTGAAAGTCAAGGGGGTGTCAGTGGGAGTCCTGTCCTGTGTTTGAAAGTCAAGGGGGTGTCAGTGTGAGTCCTGTCCTGTGTTTGAAAGAAAGTATGGTGTCAGTGAGAGTCCTGTCCTGTGTTTGAAGGACAGTATTCTGTCAGTGTGAGTCCTGTCCTGTGTTTGAAGGACAGTATTCTGTCAGTGTGAGTCCTGTCCTGTGTTTGTAGGACAGTATGGTGTCAGTTTGAGTCCTGCCCTGTGTTTGAAGGACAGTATGCTGTCAGTTGGAGTCCTGTCCTGTGTTTGAAAGTTAGAGGGGTGTCAGTGTGAGTCCTGTCCTGTGTTTGAAAGTCGGGGGGGTGTCAGTGCTCTTAGCGAGTCCTGTTTCACGCTCATGAGAGAGGAGGGCAGTTCACCATGCTGATTTCAGGACACTGGGAACACTGGAGCCCTGACAGTAAAAAAATGGGGCCCAGCTAGCTGAAATGGGCAGGAGTGACCTTCCCCACAAATCAAATGTAGCAGGGTACTTTGGACATGGGGAGATTACAAACCAAAAAGAATAATAATTAAATATACATTTCTATCCTAACAGAATTAAAAGGTTCATCTATTAAGTAAACCATTCGGGAATTTCTCTTTAGGCAACATACATATTACTACAGGCAAACAATCAGGCACCTTCTTACAACAACTGTCACATAAATGTCGACCCACTGGGGTGGCAACTGGGAAACTGCACTTTGCACCTTTTCTGCGGGAGCACAAGCACTTCAGAAGCCCAGGTCAGCCCAGTAGTCACACCTGGATGCATGCACTCAGAAAAATAAATTAATTGTGCAGAGATGCCTTTCCAGAAGAACTGAAGGAAGATCCGCAATGGGGAAAATCCAGAGAACCACTTTGGCTTTCAATGGTAATAAAATAGCTACGCAAGGTCTCCCATGGAAGTTGTATTTCAAGAACTGCAGCTGTACAGATATACACATAACTTGTTCCTGAGCATTTCCAAAGGTCAGAAATAATAAGCTTCTCCTAGCTAATTTAGCAGTTTTGCTGGCAAGATTGAAAAAAAAAGTCATAACCAAAAATTTCACAGCTGCAAAGTGGCAATGTCATGACATGTGCAAGATCAAATTTCCCCACGATAAATAATTTTGCTAATGTAACCTAAAGGGTCGGGCTTCAGCACAAAATAGTACTGGTTATATTTTTTCCAAGCAAAAAATACCGTTATATGACTTGGGCCTTTGTGTTTGCACTAATTTGCTTATTTTAACCTGTTTAATGCACCAAGCACATGGACATAAATGGGGAAACTGGTTCCATCTTGATTGTTTGGCTGCTATTAGCTAAAGAATCCCAAAACTCCACCAAGCTGCTTCTTAAATGAATCCATTGAATCCTCTTCAAGGGCACAGCAAGTGAGCTGATTCCAGACTCCCAGCACCCTTTGTGTAAGGTCTTCGATTTCCTGTCCCGAGTATTCCAAAAGTTCATTTCCACTTGTGTCCTAATAGGGTTGCTCATCGTGAAAAGGTTTCTGTATTTGACCTGGCTAGCATCCTTCAAGATTTTGAATGCCTGAATCAAGGCCCCATGAAATCTTCTGCACTCCAGATGAATACAATTCTGCTCCATATATATGTTTGAGTTTAACAAAGTCTTTAGGGATCAGGATGTAGACTCCAACATTCGCCTTTGTTTTGTCTGTACAGAAGAAATGTCCTTTAGCCAGCCTCAGTGAGCACTTAGCAATTCAAAACTCTTCTGCTTCTGGAGCAAACACCACAGTTGCCCCTTTTGTTTTAAGACATGTTTCTGCTATTGTGATCAAATGAAGGGATTGGAGGGTGTTTCAGATTTTGGAATTTCACCGATAGTCTTCACCTAAAATGCAGAAACTCCCCTGACCTCTGACAAAGCAAGTAGCAGGTGTCAATGGCAGTTTGAACAATAGTCAGTGAGCATGATATTACAGAATTCTAGCCAAATGATTCAAGCTGTAGAGGAACATGCCTACATTTTTGGACCAAGGATAAGCTGTGCCATCAGAGCCCTGTGTCCTCAGTGTCCTGTCTGCAGCACCAGTCTACAGAGCGTTCCTGAACAGAGACCTGTCATTGGAATGTGATCGATAAACTACCTTAAGCAGTGCCTTTAAAAGCCAACATTTTAAAGCCTCTGTCTGAAAGTGACAGCTTTCGCTCTATAAAATAGTGTGCTCTCAATTAAGTGATTCATTTTTAGACTTGAATTTAAAAAATCTAGATCCCACAAAAACAAAACAAAAAATAAATGGAAAAATTCAGCAAAGGAACTGTCTTGTCAAGCTGTTTCTTAAACCAAACGTTTTTAATAGCCCTTCTGAACCCCTCACTAGACCTCCTTCACCCTCTTGCTACAGACAAGGGTTCAGTCGGGGAACCTTTCACACTTTTAAGTTCTTTTCAAACCCCCAAAGAATGACAACACTGTTTCAACTCTTCCACCAACCTCACCCTGGCAAGGTCGCTGTAAAAAAGAACCCCAAAACAACAGAAAATGGCCCCAAAACATAACTTTCCTTCATGTGAATCTCTAACTAGATCAAGGTCTTCAGCAGACAACATGAACTGAAAACCATGATCCTGACTGTGAAAACATATAAGATTACACAAATGTAATAATCTTTCTTTTTAGAGCTGAAGTGTTTCCGTAGCTGAAGAATGTAACTGGCAATCGAGAGGTTTAGCCTGTCTTGACACCTGTTGGCAGTGTCAAATGTATCTGTACACATGTATCTGATCTACATAATGGACATTAGATTATGGCTGTTAATT